CATACAACGAATTGACCTTTAGCGAAGGGAAAGATATTTATCGATTGACCTTTAGCAAAGGAAAAAATATTTACCGATTGACCTTAGACAACAAATTCTTTAGCTCTTTGGGCGTATTACCATTTCCTTCGGTTTTCCCGATAGGGGTCGAATGAGCAGAAAAGAAATGGTGGAGACAGTTCAGTTTCAAAATTTGAATGCATTTCAAATTCTGCGAGCTCCCCATAGAAGAACCGATCCAGAACTGTTCTGATAAACAAATTTTAGCTTATTCGAGGTTAGCAGCTAAATATTGCATAAGTATTTGGTTGCCAACTTTCTCTCTTTTTCAAAAACTTGTTATTCTTCGTTTTGAAGCTGGAACTGGAAGGAGTTCTGGTTTGCTACATTTGGCATTAGAATATATATCTGAAATTGTGGTCGCCGGAGTGCGAAGAAATGAAGATTTTTCAAGTTCCTGTAGTACAAAACTTCCCTATATTTCGACGTGAATCAGAATGCGTAAATTCATGTGATGGAGTATTCTTGAACATTCATTTAAAATAATTTTTTCTTATTTGCGAGTTCTAATGAAAGGCTGTCAAATAAAGTTTTGACGTCTGTAACATCTGATAACAGCACTGTATGACGAACAACCTCGTCGATAATATAATTTTGGAAGATTCCAACTGTCGGATTACGTAAGTATCAGCGTCATTAATAGAAGCTTATTAAAGCTAATGCGGATTAGCAAATTGTCGATCAAAATTAAGGTCAAGATTAATGCAGCATTACCGAAGCTTTTATGAAGTGCGGTTGCAATAGAGACTCGTGTACATGTTTAGTACTTGAAAGCATAATATATAATGATTATGATTGCCCAGAAATCTTTCTACGCTTTAAGAAGCAATAACTATGGTAATGTCGGTTACCTCGCGATTTTTTTTATGAAATGAATTCACTGAACAGAAGTGAAGTGTGGTTAATGATAAAGGCATCAATACAAAACAATTCTTGAATACAAAATCAAAATAGATGCCCGCCGATAAATTACTGCACCGTCACAGGGATAATGATCCAATCTATAGAGAGAGAGAGATGCGGTCTCAAGTAACTCTTCGGAAGGGAATACTATATATATATATATAGGAGAGAGTGGTCATTTGGAGAGAAGCCAAACGAATTCAGTGCAGATGGAGAATATGGAGTTCAGACAAGTTGAAACAAGCATGAAATGATTGTATTTGACATGCGGTTGCAGTTCAGTAACGTCTAAAAAATTGAATGGTAAGACTATTTCACATCGATTTTTGTCATACAAATCGAAATGATAGAGCTGTAGATGGATCATCTCATCTGAAGTGGTTCGATTTGCAATCAGAAAAACAAAAACAGCTCTCGATCATCGGAACTCAAATATAAGTTGCAGATTCGCAGGGAGATAACGACTGAAGAGACAGATCTTTCGGACTGCTATTCAGAACCGTACCTGATGTTACCAAAATGTCCGAGTCGTAGGATTGAGCTTGCAGCGGTAAATGCTGGACATAAATTTCAAAACGTATTTAGTTTGATCGCTTTGGAAATGTCACCATATAAAAGCACTTAATGAAGCGACGAGTACAATAGTATCTGTTATTTTATTTATTTGTTGCCATATCCAATTTTTCAAGATGACATTCAACATTAATGATAATTTAAATTCAATTAGATTAGCTCTTACGTTTATCGGAAAAGCCGAGAAAATTTATGACATGTTAAAACAATTGTATATATATATATATATATATATCACAAATTTCTACCATAAATAAGTCACACCCACATATAAGGAGTTCTTAAAATTAGTTTTTTTTTTGGACAAGCTCGACAATTGACGGTCTCCTCATTCCCAGCTCCAATTTACCTTCAGTTATCTCCAGTTCAACAAATTCCCCATCCATATCTGTTTTTGTATTCTTTGTATTCAATGACAAACTGTTACTGTCATCAGTAAACCTTCATCATCCACCGTGCGTCCGTGTCAGATAACACAAACTTCATCGTCAGTTTCTTCCAAACCAGGTAATATTTTTTCACGACACCGTTTTTGTTTCTCGATTCCAGCCACTCTACGAAGACCATTACCAGACTTGATACTGAATAAAATGTGTTATATTTATGCGGAAAACGATGCAACTAAAAAGTCGCTGAAGTGTTATTCCAAATAAACTATTGGAAACCCTTCAAAATACTAGTTTCTGCACATGCTGATTTTCTAATCCTTCAATTTAGTTTTGTTAATGCTGACTACTTTAGCCTGTTCAACACTAATCTTGTTTACTCATTAATCTGGCACAGATTAGCAGAAGCTAACAGTAGATTTGTATATATGAAAGATGAATCTTTTTGTGACATAAGAAAGTAACTAAGTTGTCTAAGCAAACAAATGATAAAGGTGAAAGCGTTTCGTACTTGAAGAATGTAAGTTAACATCATATTCTGCATGTGAATTTATTACACCGACTCATCACTGTGAGAAATTTATCTTCCTACATTCATCCTCAGGATCGATATAGTTTAAAATCAGGTATCCCATTCAGTTCCTGTTTTACTAAAGTACTATAATTTTCATTTCTTATCTAACCTACCATTAATTCTTAAGTTCCTTCGCACCTGAAAAGAAGTAGCACTGTATTTTAGTGGTGTCATCCCATAAACAATGTTCCCTTCTACTGCCGCGGTCTATCTTCGCCAGATCAGTACCATCAGGGACACAAGTCCTCCGAAGTTTTTGATGGAAGTGACAGTTTTACAGACAGTGCTTGACTTTGAATGAATTTATCGCAGAACCGGCAAAACTGTCTTCGGAATGTTTCGAGTTTTCATCTTTTTTCATTTAGAAGACGAAGAAAACCCTAATATCCTAAATTTTCTAATGTGGATAAGAAACCGTGAAATCTGCAACCTAGATTTTGTTGATGTTTTTATCTTCCCAATAGCTTAGTACTGAAAGATAAGTATGAAAATCTTGCATATTAATGGCACTGAAAATCACAATCATTGATACTTTTGCCTCAAAAACGAATTTGCTGTTGTCTGAAATAGCACAAATGCGCGTTCTTAAATCAACAACGCATAATACATCCTTTTGCCATTTATTAGGTAAAAGTGGCGCAGTATTGGAAAAGTTGTTGACCGATCTTTCAGAATATGAACAATTATTCCAACTCCAGAATTACTTGAATATCTTCATTATTCGTCAAGTGGTCATTTCATCATTTTGCTTAGATCTTTTGATTTATTTCCAACTCATTTATTATGTTTGTAGATCCCCTCCAACTCACATTTTTTCGTAACGAGTTTTTTAATGCATGCTAATTGTTCGTTAATTGGGTAATTGGACACGTATGTATGATTCCCTGCATGTTAATTTTCCGTGTTAGAACGAAAGATTTTGAAGTGAAGTTCCAAAAGATGTGGAAGTTTTGGACTTTTGAATAAAGATCAGTGAAGCTGAAGATTTACTTTAACTTCGTTAAAAATTCAATGAAAGGTACTCATAATTTTTGGATAAATAGTTCATTCTTCTGAAAAGTTTGGAAATTTTGCAGGCAACATTATCCAGATTTTAAACCAAACCACTAACAATTCACAGGTAAACATCGTCTTGAACATGTGAAAATGCAAAACAAATGATGTCGCACCTCCTTCATTAATTTAATTCACTTCTAGAAGATATCAAAATTCTGATCCCATGAGGCATGACCCTTGCACTGCAACAAACGAACTCAAAATAATAACAGCTAATAGAATAATTACATTAAAACGGCCAAATACCACATCTTGGTACATCTCAAAAATTCGAGAAATCTTCCTTACCAGCTACCAATTTTTATCAGCTAAGAAAACTACAAGAAAAGCTGAGTTCCACTCTGAAAGAACATCACTAAACTGAATATTCGCTACTCCTTTCCATTCATCCCTTCAGATTTCATAAAATTCAACTAAACTCCTGGAAATTACAACTTTGTAAACCACTTCTGCGCATACTAAAATAATAATTTGATTCGAAGTAAATCTACTATCCATACAGAAATAAAATGAAAATATCTCCCTAACAGCTTCCACCTATATGAAAAGCATTCATCTTTAATCTATATTTTTGTTCGAATAATCCACAGTAATGCAAATAACTCGACATGTTGACCAAGGACACAACTTAAAGTATTAAAAATATATTTTTATTCAATAAAATATCAGCAGTACTAACAAAAGCAAAATGTAATTATCCACCCAGTAATACAGTTAAGAACGACGAAACGGATAAATACGAAACATTT